TGGAGGAATTACATTGACAATCGCAAACGTTTTGATGGAGGAATGTAATTTTGTGACTTTGACAATCGCAAATGTCAAAAATGTTTTGATGGAGGAATGACATAATACAATTATGACAATCGCAAACGTCAAATATCATTTCGAGGGAGGAATGACATAATACAATTTTGATAATCGCAAACGTTAGAAATGTTTGTATGGAAGAATTAAATTTTATTATTTTGACAATCGCAAACGTCAAATATCATTTTTACAGAGGAATGACATAATACAATTTTGACAACCGCAAACGTCAGAAATGTTTGGATGAATGTATGATATTATATGACGTTGACAATCGAAAACTTCCGAAACTCTTTAATTGAGGAATGACATAACACAACTTCGACAACCGTAAACGTCAGAAAAAAGTCATAGTGCGAACAAACACAGATAAAATACAAGGAAGTCTTCTACAAAAAAAAAACGTTTGAGGAAGAAAACTTTGAATGTCACGCAAATTGTTTGTTATTTATTTTTTTATGTTTATTCTTTCGTTACATCAGTTATGATGCATCATTCGTGTGCGCAATTTTTGTTGTTCAGAGCATTCAAAAAAAAAAATAACAACGTGTGTACATTGTTTTTGCAATGTTTTCATTTTGTTTTATTTATTTTTTTAATTGCAAAGGTCGAGGAGTCTCTTTCCTTTCGTTTTCAACGACCATCAAAAATTGTGCTTCAACACAAAAAAACTTAGATAGAATTATTTGCAAAATAGACGCGTCCATTCGTAACGAGCGGCGACAAACATCAATTAAATCCGCAATTTCAGTGCTTCAACTTTTGCAAACCTCAGTCATATAAACATGAATATATTATTATTATTACGATCGTTTGCGAAAACGCAGATTTAGTTTATTTTTAGAGAATATAAATAAACTATTAATATTAACTGCCTTTCGTAAACGAAACACATTTATTTACTTCACTATAAAAACTAGTTTATATAGATGTATTTTATAGTATTATAATAATCATTATTGTTTTATTTACGATATCATTTCACATTCGATATGCAATAAAAACCAAAATTTATATTTTGGTGCGCATTTTCGATCGAAAGATGTTTGTTACGTTAACCGACGTTTTATTGTTATGAACGAGGCAGGAAATTAACGCAACAGAAAGGATTCTCCAAAATAGACTGAAAACTCTATTGAAAACTTCAATTTAAGTTTGATAATTTTGTTCAATCATTTACAATTAAGTTTTTCAATGAAAATTACCAATACTAAATAGACCACAATTAGCCGGCTTTAAGAGAAATCCGTTTCCTTTAACATTCAGAGAATTAGGATCAATGAGACACGTTTTGCTGTTTCCGAGAAAGCAAATTGGATTTTGATCGTGTTTACTTTAATAATTTTCACCTACTTTTGCTGAACTTTGCATTTTTCAATTCAAGTTTATGATATCATGCATATTATAACAAAATGTTCATCTTTTTGCAGATGAAAATTTACAATTTACTAATGAAATTGTAATTATAAAATGCAATTGTAAATGCAATTTTCTCATAAATTTCTCCTCAAGGCTTCAATGCACGTCGCCTTTCGAATCTATTACATTTTTTCTTTAAACAATAGACAAATTTCGTCAAATTTCATTAAAACTGAAAGACTAAACGCATACATAATGTCTTAGTGTATTTAGAGGAAGTGAACCGAAAACTATGTACACTATAAACCGGTTTTCGTTTATAAGTGCCTTAAAGAAGTTAACATTTTGTTAACTTAACTTAACACTAGCTCAAACTTCGTTCGTTTACTTGATAATATCGCAAATAATCGTGAATCATTATAAATTAGTCATTAAGTGCGTGAAAATGTAAAATCATTGGCAGCGATAAAACGGGTCACTTTCACGAAGAAACAAAATTTAATCAGTTGAAAATTAGATAATTATCTAATTAGGCTGTAAAATACGGTTATTTGAATTATTATTTCTTACGTTACGTCTACGGCAAATCTACGATTTTCAATGCATTTCGTTTGTTAAATTTGATGCGAACTACACATAAATCTACTATTTTCAATATAGTTAACAACAGTTGTTGAAAACACTAATTTTGTGTGTGTGTGTTTTTTTTTCGGTACATAACATATATTTCACTTTCTCTCCGCGGCGAAATACTAATAACTTTCTCGCATCTACACGAATATGTGTGTCGTCCGCTGAGCCAATCTCTTGTGTGTGTGTTCTGTTAAATATTTCAAATAATTCATAATCTGTGTGCGCTTACCGTTTCTCTTTTCGGCAAACAACGAATGAACGATAATCCCAAAGAAATTGCGGACTAGAAAGAAAGATAAAAAAAAAACTTAAATTTACCGCGATCTTCGGCGACGGTGCAACGCGAAGAATTTCAAAGAGGAAATAACGGTGGTGACCTTCTCTGGTCGCATCACGCGAACACCGCAAGCAGACGACCACTAACGTTCATTGTCTATTTAGAATGTAAAACTGAACTTTCGATGTATTAGTTTCGTATTAGTTTTATAACTTCTTTAGTTTTTTTTTTTGATTCGAACTTTTTATTTTTCTTAGAACGCGACGAACGAAACGCAACGTCCAACCCAAGACTCGGACAGCAACTGGTCCTCCGCTCGTCGCGCTTTCCGTCCACTATAAACTCGGCCACCTGCCCACCTTTTTTTCTCTCTTTCTCTCTCTGCCTTTCCTTCGTATTCCTTTTGTCTAGTAATAATAATAATCAAAATACTAAACAAATCGCGATAAGCTATGGTTCTACAGCAAACGCGTGTTCATTCTGCCTCGCTATACGTCGTCTTGTTGTCTTTTAAAAACTCTTCAGTAAAATTGCCATTATTTACGTTACGTTACGTGCAAAACTTTGAAAGTAAATCAGGTGGTTTTGAGCGATTGTGTTTTTTTTTGTTTTCTGGGAACGCGATGGAAAAAGCTTGTTTCGCCTTCTTAATTGATAATACTAATCGAAAGACACGAGGCGGCATTATTTAATTGAACTCAAAGTTAATTATTTCCAATGAATTACGAATCGTTTATAAATATATTTAGATATCACAAAGCAAAGCAAAGTGCAATTATTTCATAATTGCAAAAGAATGCAAATTGAAATTTCTCTCAATTAACAAATCTGAATAAGTTTTTTTTTAAATTTATTTACGCGCACTTTCCTCTAATACAATTTGCAATTTAGATTTCAGCGTTTGATTAATTTTGAGCTGCAAACTTAACGAATGCACCTTTTTTTTTCAGTGAGTTTCTGTGAGTGAAAATTGAATAGAAATTTGAAAAAAAAAATGACAACGCACGACTTCCCACGCTCGCTCGTTCATTCACTTTAACACTCGCTCTATTTATACGAGGGAGTTGTGCAAATACGAGATTTAGTATTTCTAGATTGAGTCTGCGAGATATGTTGTGTATGCTCCATTTTCTAAATTGCTTTGCATCAATTGGCTATCACTCTGGTCGCGATGATTTTGAAACGGTCAAATGCAAATTGAACAGTTTACAAGATTATCAGTTCCATCTTTACTATTTCGGCAGCAGTGGGGACAAGTTACTAATCTTACGTAAATTTCAAAGTGCGCGCGTTGTGGCTGCAACCACATCAACATAGATGAAAGAAAATAAAAGAATCTAATTGGATTGGTTCACCATATTCACATACTTCATATTTATCATGTGCATATTTGGTTGCATTATTCATTAATTATAAGTTGCAAAAGGATAGTGTAGGATAATTTTTGTCGGTTTATTTAGGTTTAGAAATAATTGAAATATTTAATTTATTAATAATACTCTGTACAAATCAATTAATTCATTAATCAATTAATGATAATAATTCATAATAATTATAATAATAATATATACAAGACAAATTTACATTTGTTCATCTCTTTGTTGTTGTTGTTCTTGTTTTTTTTTCCTTCAAATTTCCTTTTACAACATTTAATAGGCACTGGAGTCTAAGTGGAAGAATCAATAGTAGTTGACTAGTAATAATAATAATTTAAACAAAACGAAAACAATAATAATAATAATCAAGGGATAACTAAAAGAGAATGAAGACAAAAATACAAGGAAACGTATAGAATAAAAGTGTAAACATGTATAGAAAGAACGAAGCTAACGTTAATACAATAATAATAATAAATATATGTATATATGTAAAAACCTAATGAATACATTGCAATAATTAATAATAACCTGATTATAAAAATTAATTAGTTTAAACATAATAATTGTAAAGCGAACTGAACGATTAATAATAATACTTCGTAAACTTTATCATGATCCGATTTTTCCCCCACTTTTTTTTTCAATATATATTTATAATTGATTTATTTAAATTATTTAAGTACTTAATGAATTAACGACGAATCTCGGTGCGGAAACGAGTAACAATTTATTAATCGCACACGAAAAAAAAAAGACGCAACGAGAAACGATATCGTGATCAATTTTTTAACGAGTGAATTAACGGAAACGAAACGAAAATTCAGCATCAAAGAGAGAAGAAGAGGACGTAACGTAACGTAAATAATGTTGCGTATCCTTGGTTACAATTGTTTACGATCGCTTCTTCTTGTTCTCTTTGGAAAACCGTTTTTTTTCTTTTTTAAATCAATCCCTTCGAGATATGTATGTGTGTGTGTGTTGTTGTGTGTACGTGTGTGAAGTTAATTAATTTTTAGTAACTTAAGATAAACATAATGAACGGACAATTAACAAATAGGGAGGCAGAAAACAAAACAGCCCCATCTCCAAGGATTAAACACAAACAAACAAACAAATACACATTTAAAAGAACACCCAACTCATCTCTCGTCTTCTCTACTGCTACTAAATTAATTAAAATAAATACACAAAAGCGTAAAAAAACGAAAATTAATAATACAAGTAATTATAAAGAAAGATTCAATTATACAATTAAAAATATATATTTATATTTATTTATATGTATATATCAATTATTTATTAAAACCACAGCCAAAAGGACTAATAATACAGTACGTGGATGTTTCTCCTTTCCCCCATTTATTATTATTATTATTATTTAATCGCACCTCCCCTGAACAAAAAGTTTGACACCTATTACCAACACCAAACGCAAACTCTAACGTTCGTATTGGTTGGGCTGTCGGTGGGCGTGCATGTTTGTGTGAGAGTGGGCGGCGACGATGGGGGAGGGGCTTATTTTGCTCTGCTCGGAAACATTTCACGAGGTGGCAAACGCAAAACAGTTGACGACGACGATGATGACGATCGGAAATTTTGAGCAACTTTCTTATGCGATTCTCGATAGACACGTTTAAGTGTTTTCTCTCTTCGTTTCTTTCTGCGTTAGCACGTCGACGTCTCCCACAGACGATTCGTCAGCTGTATCTGATCGGGAGGAGGCGGTGGCGCCTTCTGTTTATTGCCAACTTGATCAGTGCAAAAAGAAAGAAATAAGAAACAAAACAAAACAAAAAAAAACGATAATCAGATAATTTGACAGATTTGACGACATTATCTAATTATATATATATTACATGACAATAATAGAAACGTTATTATTTTTTAGTTGCTAGGCGATTGCGAAACAAAAATTAAAAAAAAGAAAAACCAGGCGCCTCCACCTGCTGCGATTAAATGAATTTGCAAATGCCACGAAACGATTGAAGGAGATTGCGTGGATTTTCTTCTTCGTGCACTGTGATTTCGTTACACCATAACAAAACATACATATATATATATATATAAATATACATATGATTCGTCGTATAGTGATAATCGATTTGAAAACAAAACAACTAGTCTATAGTAATAATAAACGTAGTCTAGAGAAATTAAAGTTTGTAAATATAACAATATAAACAAGAAAAACGAAGTGGGGTGTGTTTGTGTATGATGTGGAGGGTGATTTAATTTTGTTGTTGTTGTTATTTTGATAATGAGAGGGGGGGGGATAAGCGAAATTATGGTACATTCCGTAAACGATTCATACATTATATAGAAATATGCATTTGTATAAATATATATATATATAAAAATAGTAGGCGTTGAAAATAATAAACAAATGATGTCCAGCAATCCACGAGAAGTTAGGTAGCAGTAGGAAATAATGATAGAAAACGAGAAATGCGGACGTCTATACAACATGCAGACGAGGACAGATGCTGCTGTCGTTGTCGATTGATCCCGTGTTTCAACAAACAAACATTTGATAAGTAAAGATCTCTTTTCTTTTAGCACTTTGACTCTAAAGAGAGGGACAAACAAAGAAAATAACAAAACATAAATAATCCATTTGAGAAGAGTTCGAGTTGCGTGTGCGCGTTCATTCGTTGCGAGACGAATAAACGAATTCGTTTTAAATAACAAAATATGTCTCTCGTTGCTTGGATACGTTGATTCGTCTCCAACTGTTTTCTTTTTTGTTTAAACATTTGAAAGTTCTCGTGTCTCTTTACTGCATAAACTACGATTGTTTTGATTTTGTTTAGTCTTGTAAATATAAAAGAAAAGCGTGAGGATGGATGTTATTTTTTGGGGAATCGTTATGATCATGTGACCTGACCATTCGATGTCGGTTGTTTTGCAATTTTCATTCAATTATATTAACTTTAGTATATATTACTAAACAATCTTGATATGTATATAATATTATCAAGATATTTCGTAAACGTTTGTATTGTCGTATGGTCCATTATCTATTTATAGTATAAATGCTTCGTTAAATAGTGATTTGAAAAAAATAGTCTTGAAATGCTTGCAAAAGGGGCAACATCGAAAGGAATGGAAATACAAAAGAAGATAAAAACAAATTAAATTAATAAAGTAAATAAATACTTATATAATTAGTTTAAAATATATATATATAACAATAAGTTAAAAAAAGAGAAATAGAAGTGTGTGAAAGCGGTGGTTAATAATAATAATAATATTTCTCTCTACTAGTGTGCGGAGAGTGATGGGGTTGTGTTGGTAAATTGGAGGTGGTGCGGATCCAACGACAATCAATACTTGTTTGTCTTTGGATGTTGACTATGCTTGTTGATAGAATAGTAGTAGTAGTAATAATAATGGTCGTAAAACTATGGTTTTCTTTTTTTTGTTGCTTTAAGATTAGTGCGGATGAAAAATAAAATCTCTTTCTTTTTGTTTTTGTTGCAGTTCACTTATTTGCATGCACTATGTAGCTTTGGACAAACCTTGTCGACCGTTATAGACCTTGTGCACGTTGCGGAAGGGCATCGGCTTCGGGAATTCGCTCGGCGAATGGAAGGCGAATCGCTTCTCCAGCTCGCTCACCAATGAAGAGGTGTTGTTGGTGGTGATGGAGCAGGAGGAGGAGGAGACGCTGATCGCGTTCGACGGTCGTCTGCTCATGTTACCGCCCACATCTCGTATCGAAGAGTTGCGAGGAGGCGGCGGTGGTGCGCTCAGACCGCCCATCGCCGTCGGTATCTGAAAGGTGGGTTTCCGTTCATTATGAATGTACCGTTTTTGTTGTTGTTGCTTCAATGCTGTCGGTTTTGGGGGCGGTGGTGGTCTTACCGCTGGCGGCGCTCTGGACGGTGCCTGCGTCCTGTGCGGAGGCGGCGGTGGGGCGTGGCTCGGTGCCTGCGGGATG